CCACTGGCCAACCAAGAGCTTCGGGACCGTGTTTTGCATGTCACCCGAGTCACTCGACAACTACTTCTAGGACATCATTGTCAGCGCGGTCACCAAGTCTAACAATGTGGATTTGGGTCGGGCTGGATCTTCCTTCTCGGCATGCTATCCCTGGTAAACTTCACTTTGTACCTCGTGTTTGCCAGCCGCTATAGAAAGAGTTGCAAGGTGGACGAAAGGACTACTCGTAAGGAGGGAGGCAACGTCGACAACACGACATGCCACGAGTGACTTTTTGTCTCTCGATGGCCGCCTGGATGATGTAGTACAACTTCCTCTCATTCCATCGTCTGCAAGCTAGGCTACATTTTCTCTGTAAATAGCATTATTCCTTTTTGTACTGGAGGGATCAGAAGGTGATGCTCGGGACATTTAACTTGGACATGAGGTACAACTTTGAGACAAGGAAACACTCAAGAAAAGTGGACAAATTTAGGCAGGCTTTGTCACACACTAAGGGAACTGAATATAGTTTTTGTTGTATGGTTTGTGCTGCTGCAATTCATTTAGATTGATTTTGGACATTGTGTATTATTTTACCTTTCTTATTACTATTTGTTTTTTGTTTTCAGCAGCAATACCAACATCCTGGGGCTGCATTAGTCCATTAATATTAACTCGCTTACTCTCATGTCGTTTGTGTAGATCTTTGTTTTGTCAAGTTAACAAGGTATTAGATAAAAACCCAAAGAGGCTGCAACCAAGGTGAGCTAATGTAATTTTTATAATGTAGTCAAAGGATAATCCATCTCTATCATGTTGTTTGTGCATAGGGTTTTTTCTTTGCATTCACTTTTGAATGCTTGATTTAGATACTATTTGTGATCATGTAAGAAAGTTGATATTTATTTTGATAGCACAACTTCGGTAACCCTACGTGATACTTAATAGAATGTTAGAGATGTCCTTCTTTCTCAATGTCAAGCTATTATATACTACATCCGAAGTTAGTAGGATAAGTAGCCTTCAAAGCAGAGCTTTAGGAATTTTCGGTCAAGTGAACCTCTTCCAGGTTTCATGCTTGAGCCCTAAGATTTTTTTGTTCTCCGAGCTTTTCGGAATAGGTATGCACAAGACAGTATGATAATGATTGGCTTCCAAGCCAAGTGGTAGTTGAAAACATCACGAATCCAGTCACATTATGTCATCTGTTCTGGATTACACTTGCATTTTACGTCCCCTTTATCATCAATTTCATCCAACTCATTTCATTTGTTATCGCCCTTATTGAATGCAACCGTTCAATCCTTAAGTTTTATTTTTACAAACACAATAAAAGCAAAGCCAGTCTAGGCAACGTTGCTGTGTTGAACAACAGTTTGTCGGTGTGAAGGACTCAACGTCATCGTGTCAAGCTCATGTGGAGGATTTGTGCT